TGTTCATCTGTGTCGTGGATGATGGTATCAGAATGGAACATATAACTTGTATACAAGCAGTGACATTTTTATCAGAGAACAACGGAGAATCTCGTCCTCAGCATGTGCTATTTGTGTTAGGGTGAAGACCTGGAGCACATGTCCATTCCTGTCCTCACCTCAGGACATGCTGCCGAACAGGGGGATGGGGTGGCTCTGCCTCACGTAGAACATACTGGAAGAAAATGCACATCAAGCATGACTTTTCAAATTACGGACACCGAGCTGTGCGGATTAGTGCTATTAATTCAACACAAAATACGTGAGAGATTGGAATGCTAATCCACACACGATTTCCCAGAAAGGTCCCCAGCCATTGACTAAGAACAATACCTGTGGGTACAGATATAGTCCCTGGAGGGTAGAGCTGTGTGCTTTCATTTAGAAAGATAATGATCCCCAAAACAGCCAAGTAAATTAATTCATTCATTTCCCTTCGGCTAATCTCTAATTCAGAGGTCGCCACAGTGGAATGAACCACCAACTATTTCGGCATATGTTTTATGCCAATAAATTTTTATTACCCATACACTCTCACATTCACACACATACACACTCATACACCTCGGCCAATTTAGTGTATTAAATTCACCTACTGTATAGCGCATGTCTTATTCAGCTTATTCAATTCGTCTGTACGGTATGTTTTTGGACCGAAGGAAACCCACGCGAACACCGGGAGAACATGCGAACTTCACATAGAGATACCAACTGGCCCAGCCAGGACTCAAACCAGTGCCTTCTTGCTGTGAGATGACAGTGCTAACCACTGAGCCACCATGCCACCCGCCAAGGAAACTACTTTCAGAAAAGAAAATAAAGCTGTAGAATGGCCCAACCAATCACCTGACTTAAATCCAATGGAAAGTAGTAACTAAAGATCAGCGTTCATAGATGAACCATCTACTAATTTATGTGAGGGAAAAGTTACACCTGAGCAATGCATGCAACTCCATTCTCCATACCAAAGGATGAATCAAAGGAGCATCTTGAAGCTATCAAAAAGCCTTTCATACAAAGCATTAGAAGCATTTCAGTAATTCAGTACTTTCTCCTAGCTCTCATTAGCACTTTTTTTTAATTAGTTAGTTTTGTTGTATTAGTGTGCTTGGATTGTTTGGGTTGCATGTCAACCGCTTCTTTAGACAGTTATTTATGAGGAAAAACCATGACTTGTTCAATACCTAATTGGAATGCATTAAATTACTGAACCTCATTGCTAATCCACACAAACATATTTGCCAGAAAACAACCCAGCCACTGCCTAAGAACAATACCTGTGGGCAAAGAGATGATCCCTGGAGAGCATAGCTGTGTGCTTTCCTGACACTATAATTGGCTCTAATTTAATTCAACCAATATGGAGGAATATGATGCAGAGCAGAAAATGATATTGCTCTATTCAGCCCATAAACACATTTTAAAATAAATGTATGTTGCTGCTCATTTAAAATGATTTGAAACAACACAATTCTGAAGGTTTTTTTGGACAACTTAATAATTTTTATGTACAATCTACTTAAATTTGTAAAATGCTTAAGTCAACTTTATTGATTTGTTTTGGTACTGCATAAAAGAGTTGTGTGGAACTCAGCATTTTTAGTGTACAAGTATCCCACTTGTTCTGTAGCACTTCATGACCAGCCTGTCTGTCGATTTCCAGTAAAATTCAGTTTAGGACGCCATTTAGTAGTCAAATAAATCAAAGAAGTTAGAAGGCCTGTGTGATGATAATTGTGTTTGATAATATTGTAATTGGGGGGCGGCATGGTGGCTGTATGGGTGTTTCCCAGTGCTGGGAGTTTAAGAGTTAATACATTCTTAGTGTTTGGTTGTGGCTGGAAGGGCATCCGCTGCATAAAACATATGCCATAAGTAATTGGCGGTTCACCCCGCTGTGGCGACCCCTAATTAAATTAATGATAAATCCGAATGATAGTGAGTGAAAATATTGAAATTGTTGTTCTGGTGGTTAGTTATGAACTTCATTCATTTTATTTTCGGCTTAGTCCCTTTATTGATCAGGGGTCACCACAGAAGAACTTATCCAGCCTATGTTTTACACAGTGGATGCCCTTCCAGCTGCAACCCAGTACTGGGAAACACCCACACACTTTCGCATACACTAAGGCAAATTCAGTTTATTCAATTCACTAATATCGCATGTCTTTGGACTGTGGGGGAAACCAGAGCTACGGAACTCCACACAGAGCTCGACCCAGCGACCTTCTTGCAGTGAGGTGACAGTGCTAACCACTGAGCCACCGTGCCCCCCTTGTTATGAATTCATTTTTGGCTTAGTCCTTTTATTAATCTGGGGTTGCCACAGCAGAATGAACTGCCAACTTAATCAGCATATGTTTTACACAGCGGATGACCTGTCAGCTGCAACCCATCCCTGGGAAACATCCATACACTCTCATTTACACACATACACTACAAACAATTTTAGCTTACCCAATTCACATATACCACATGTTTTTGAATTTGTGGGGGAAACTACAAATTTTATTATGTAATTATTTTATTTTATGTCAGCTTTGAGATGATGTTACCATGAAATAAACTAAAGTTAAGATGCTAGCACTAAAAAAACACAGTCACTAATTTGGCCTTTAGAACTATTAGCTCATGCTTGTGTAGATGATACTCTAACACTATGCCTTTGGCCAACACGCAGCTTGTCTGTGTAAGTGAGTGTGTGTATGTGCGCAAACATATCACACTCTCTAACTAGAGCCATATCAATCAACCAGAGACTTCCAAGGAACACATAAGCCTGTCAGAGAGCATTTTTACAAGCAAGTGGTCAAATGCCAAAGGTAGAAAAGCTTATAAGAAACGACTGTAGAAACTCTGCTGCCCTCTGCTGTTAGCACACGTTAGAAATGTTGCTTTAGTGCGCATGTGTCAAACTCAGTTTGCCATTTACACTTGTGTATATGAAACTTGCCTAATAATGTCAAAAGACTTAACATAAACAGAAGATTCTTATACATATCTTTTTTATCTATATAAAATATGATATCTCTTTTCTTAATAATAATTCTAAGACCACTCGGTATATTAAATTGACATTGAACACCAAACCAGAAATATTTAACATACATGCAATCAAAAAAACAAACAAATGCATAACAGTCTCAACATCCATTCCGCAAAAAACACACAATTCAGAAAGATAAACTTTAAACCTCTTGAGAAACTGGTTGGTTGGATATATTTTATGTATAATTTTAAAGTAGATTTTACTGACTTTATTTCTGACACAATATTTGTTGTTATTAGTCCAGATCAAGTTCCAATTGATATTTTCAAATTGGTTATTCCAAAAGTACTTGCAGGACAATGGATCAAACTTCTAATGAAACACCATCTGTCTCGTGGAGGCACTGGAAAACTAAACTTCTCTAAAAATTCAGTATAAGTCAGTAAATATCCTTTATCGTTTAATAACTGTGAGACTTGTTTTTCCAGTGTGACGCATTTGCGCGGGTATGAATGGAAGTCTATGGGTAGAAAAGTGCAGTGTGACCGCAGCTTTAGGCTTGTTTGATACATACAGATAGGTGTGTTGAAGCAGAGGTGGAACTGAACTCTGCAGGGTTGTGGCCCTCCAGGAATTGGGTTTGACATCTCTGCTTTAGTGTATGACTAAGATGCTTTAGAATGAATTAGGGCTTTGTATTTTAAGGGTAAATGAACGTTAAATGTCATAAACTCTAATAAATATACACTTTTGCACTTTAATATGCTAAGACACTTCAAATTTAGCAGAACTGAAAACATTGTATTTTCCAGGTCATTGAAATCACGCTAAAAACTATGTACATGTGCACCAATATTTACAGCTTGATGAACACTTGTTCAAACGCAGAGCTGTCCTCTCAATGGAAGCATCTGACATTAAACCAAAGGTGGAAATCTGGTAAAAAGCCACCATGCTAACACCCTTATCAGAGCCGCCTGCTGCCGCGTCGGAGGACAGTCTGAAAAATAAACCGTGCTCTGATGATCCGCATTAACAGAAAGACTTGCCGTTCTTTACTCCTGCCAGCTCTGCTCCCTATTTTAGGATGTGATTCACATGAAAAGCATTTAGCTCTCAACCAGAGCATTCGTCGCCGTATGAATCACAGAGATGGGTCATCGCCACAGACTCACACCTTCACTCCAAATCAGCTCTACCACCTAGTCAAAGACCATGAATGTTGCGTGTTCTCCCATACAGAATGCTGTATGCTAAGGCTACATAAGCCCTATCTGTTGTTTGAGATGCCTCTCTTTAGGGGATGTAATGTGATTTGAACTAGTAATACAGTGCTTAGCTTAATTGAGTGCATCCCTTTTTTAAAAATGAATATTTGTATCCATTTCTCAGTGAATAAAGGCAATGTATTTTGGTGCATAAACAGATTTATTAAACAGATATATTTGATAAAATAATGTTTTAGTCACCAAACATGTTTAGAAGTTGAAAGATAATACAAATAAATTCAAGCAAAATATTGCAAAAAAAAAAACTACAAAATTTCAATTAAATTTACAATTGTTTTTTTTTTTTTTTTTTTCTTGTTTTTTCCTATTTTAAATTTGTGTTTAATATTTTTCCATAACATATAAATTTGGGTGTAGTTTTTGGACTGTTATCATCATTACTGAACAATCTTATGTCTATTGACATTATATAAAATAATAGTTTATTGCTTTCTATTTAAATATGAATTTAAAAGAGTTTGTGAGGGGTGTACTTATATATGCTGAGCACTGTACAGTATATTAACATTTTGACAATCACAACTATCTAGCTGAAAGCTCAGTGAATTGTTTGGAAGCTAACGTTAACATTTTCCACGATCTCCAATTGCACCTTTTGCATGTGACTGTGCTGATACTTTTCCATGACATTCTGGTAATTTTCATTAAAATTCATCATCATATTTTCTTCTATTCCTTCACAGATGCAGTGGACTCTGAGACTGAGCAACTTGTGCCACTCAAGCTGAAGTCTGAAGGTCAGCTTTTTAACTGCTGTGACGGCACAGAAGATATAAGCCAAAGCACATCCAATGACACTCCTGCACCAAACAGACCCATCTGCCAGCCCTGTGGCACAGGTGCACAGACTGAAGATGCCAGCTTGGAGGAGGATGAGGCCACTTCTGAGGAGAAATCTGAAGAGTTGAGTCAAGAGGAGGCAGCGTCTGAAGAGAAATTTGAGGAAGAGGCAGGAGCAGAGTTAGATGCATCTGATGAAGTGTTGGAGGAGGAAGTTCTTGATGTGAAGGAGATGTCTGATGTGGAGGCACAACTGGGTGAAGAATCTCTGGAAGAGGGTGTTGAGGAAGATTCGCAGATCAGTGATGAGTCGGTGGGGGAGGAAGAGGAGGATCTTCAGACTGAAGATGAAGCAGGTGAAGTGGAACTTTCTCAGAATGAAGAACAGGTAATTGTGGAAGAAGACGTTGAGCAGACTGAAGAAGAGAAAGAGGAGGATATTCAGACTGAAGATGAAGCCTTTCAAACTGAAGACGAGGTAGTTGAGGAAGAGGAAAGTCTGCAAACCGTGGAGGAGGTAGTGGAGGAGGAGGAGGTTCTTCAGACCGAAGAAGAGGTAGTAGAGGAAGAGGAAGCTCTTCAGACTGAAGAGGAGATAGTTGAGGAGGAAGCTCTTATGACCAAAGAGGAGGTAGTTGAAGAAGAGGAAGTTCTTCAGACTGAAGATGAAGCAGGCCAAGGAGAGGAACATTCCCAGGCTGATAAAGAGGTAGTTGAAGAAGAGGAGGTTCTTCAGATTCAAGATGAGGCAGATGTAGAAGAGGAGGTTTCTCAGACTGAAGAAGAGGCAGCAGAAGATTCTCAGATTGAACAGCCATTGGAGCAAGTGGAAGAGGTAGCAGAAGAAGAGGACACTTTAACAGAGGAAGAAGGAGCTCCAGAGGTTGTGGAAGAAAGGCAATTTGTAGAAGAACCAAAAGCAGCTGAAGAGTTGGTGGAAACTGAAGTAGAGGAGCCAGCCACAGATGTTGTTGAAGAGGTTGTAGAATTAGCCCAAGAGGTAAATGAGGAACCAACTCCAGAGCAAACTACTGACCAAGAAGATGCTCCTGCACCTGCCGAAGAAGCAAAGGTGGAACTAGTGTCAGAGGATGTGCCAGCAACCAAAGCATCTGCAAAAGGTATGTGTCCTTCAGTAGTACTATTTTATATTAATTTTGTTGGTATTTGACAACCGAAACAATAGCTAGGTTTTTATTCAAAAATTCTAATTAGACTTGTGCACAAAACTGGATTATCACATTAAACATTTGCAAATGAGCATTGTTTCAATTAAAATGAGCTGAAGAGAACGGAATCATCACTTTCTGATAAACTTCCATCAAACATCAAAAATTGACTTAAATGATGCATATTGGATTTTATGGAGGCACAGGCCTCTCTTTAGGAGTGCCGATGCTCAAGACAGTTCTGGAGGTAGTAATTATGAACCACTTATTGTACTGTATCTATACTGTGTTTGCTTGCTAAATTGAAATTATCTATCATGGCAATTTTGAATCTGCTGCTAAACCCATGCGTGGAAATCTTTTGCCTTCACTCCAAATTCCCAAATGCATAGCTTCTGTAAAAAAAAACATTGTTAGTGCATTGTTGTTTTAGATTGTTATCCAGCTACTTAAATAGGGATATTTGTTTAAGGGGAAAATATTTCCTAAGCATATTTTTTATGATCTGCTCCGATTGTTCACACAAATGCCACGGACCAACAAAAACAGCTTCATAGTCATCACAGAAAGCCTCTTGGTAAATCAACCAGAGAGAAGGAGCTATATTGTGTCATCAGGGTGCAGGATAGGGCGCTAGTAAACGTTAGTTCCTCATGCTTGTCCACCTGATACTTCTGTCAAAGTGGCACAGGAATAAATCCACCACCACCAAAATAACCTAGCAGAAATAACTCTTGGCACATGTCCACTGCCATTCATAACAATATGTTCTCTGGCCTGCTTGAAGAACAGTTTTGTAATGGGGAAGAAATGTTTCAGATACTTTTAATAGTATGATGATTGCATTTAAATGGCTCCAAATGGAGCGCTGATGTAGATGTTGCAGTGGATGAACGGTAAATGGTGTATTTCGTTGTAAACCAACTAAATGAACTAATTAATTAATCAATCAATAAAATTAATAATGACAGAAATTAAAATGGCACTCATAACAATTGGTCTGTTTATCTGTATGGTATAATACATCACAATATTGATGATGAAAATAACCATAACTATCATTCAAAGTTTAACTGGTATTTTTTGGCATTTAGCTGTACACTAAAATCAGCAAACAAAACATTGAGCTGATGCATTGTTTCCTGTGATTGTGATTCTCGTGTAAATACAGGTGCAGCTTCTTTCCTCAGAGATCTTGTTTACTTCAAATGTAAAATTAAACTTGGAAAATGTTTGGTAAATTCCACAATTCATTTCATAATCTAAAAGTCCATTGATGCACCCATCAAAAATATAATTGACTGCTATTTTTGACTAAAATTTGATTTGTAAAGCAGTCTACACAGGATTTTGAAAGTCCAGTGGTTCTTGACATTAAAATATGAAAGATTTCACAGAACTTTTCAAAGCAAAACACAAGAACTGAAGTATATTGAATGAAATGAATGTAAGAAACAAATAGGAAACAAATATTTGTAAAATAGATATATGTATCTAGAAATAAATTGAAAATGCAAAACAGTAACAAGCTTGTTTTCTGGGGTGTCATAGGTAAAGAAAAAGTTGTGATATGAGATTGATGTCTAATGCCAACTTTGCTATTTTTTTCTGGCAGTGGAGAAAAACGCCCCCTCAGGTCCTGTCACAAGAGATCGCTCTCACATTGAAGAGACGCTGCGTCTGGCAACAGCTGAACCTTCACGAGAATATGTTGGTGAGTCATATAATCAAAATGAAAAAAAAAAAAAGGATTTTAAATAAGCTTCTCTAGCTCAGCTATATGCACAATAACAGGCCAGTTATATCAAGTATATCTACAGTCATATTAGATTGACCAAAACAATTGTCTGTGTGCTCACTGTTTTGGTAAAACCTACAGCACAGAAAGCTAAATCATACGCAATTAAAATATTGGAAGTAATAGTAAAGCTAAAAAAAAAGAAAAAAAAGATAACAATGATGTTAAAAATTAGCAAAGTCGTTTGCTAGCTAACACAAATTTTTCAAAAATGATAAATAGGTAACTTAGGCTGAAGTAGCAGAATTATTAGTAAACTGTGAAACAACAGATCCAGAAAAAGAAAGTGTATTTTTGTATGTGTTGCAGTGTTGCATGTACAAATACTATATACAAACTGCATGTGTACATGTGTGTGTGTGTGTGGTGTGTGTGTATATATATATATATATATATATATATATATATATATATATATATATATATATATATATATATATATATATATATATGTATGTGTATATATATATATATATATATATATATTTATATATATATATAGATATATATATATATATATATATATATATATATATATATATATATATATATATATATATATATATATATATATATATATATATATATATATATATATATATATATATATATATATATATATATATATATATATATATATATATATATATATATATATATATATATATATATATATATATATATATATATTTATATTTTATATATATTTTTTCTTCTGGAGAAAGTCTCATTTGTTTTATTTCGGCAAGAATAAAAGCAGTTTTAAAAATTTTTAAAGCCATTTTTGGGACAAAATTATTAGCCTCTTTAAGCTAATTTTTTTGATAGTCTACAGAACAAACCATCGTTATACAATAACTTGCCTAATTACCCTAACCTGCCTAGTTAACCTAATTAACCTAGTTAAGCCTTTAAATGTCACTTATATGTTATGTATAGAAGTGTCATATATATATATATATATATATATATAGTTACAGTTAGAAATATTTTCTTTTGTTTTTTGTAAAGAAAATTATTCTGTTAATCAAGTCGCCATTTATTAAATGTAAAATATATATATATATATATATATATATATATATATATGTATATATATATATATATATATTTTGGGTTCTTATATGTTAAAACATTAAGTTGTGTTGTCTAAAATGAATATAAACATATCTGCAAACGTTGCACTGTTTTATTGTTCTATGCAAGAAAAATGTAAATTACAAACCATTTATTTTAATTTTGGAAGAAATGTCATCAGTAGTTTAGAGAATAAAACTTAACTTACACATTAAATTGAACATGATGCCTGCACTATTTTTAAATGTGTGAATCCAGTTTATTATGTGAGAACAGACCCTGTTTTCTTCAGGGCTATTCAGTTATTAATAATTAGCTTTATTACATAACAACATAAGTACAGTATGATTGGTATGTTCCCGTTCAGGTAAACCCAATCGTGCATTTATGTTTGTATCTTCCATCACCTAGGAACATACCTAAGATTCTGGGTGCGTCTTGACCTTTGATCTATCAGATAAGTACCATCCAAGCGATAATAATCATCCCATGCTTCTTGTGTCAGACATTCATCATGTCCACTTTCTAAGACGTGTTGTGTTGTGTCAGCCGGGAAGTTTATGACACAAATATGTGTTCAAGAATTTGGCCAACAACAGCTCGTGGAGTAGTCATGCATGAAAGCATTTAACTCTCAGTGGCCGCTTGTGGTCTCTGACTCAAAAAACACAGCTGCAGATTAACTAAAACAAACAAGTGTGTATAACTAGCAGTGCGAATCTCAATGAAACCCTTATCAGATGTATACTCAGGCTACTGCTTTACTGCAGATTACTTCAGTTCTTGGAATCATAAAAACTTTGAGAGGTGAGGATAGCTCTATAAAATGTTTTACACAAATTGCTACTCGTGAAATTGCATTTTTATGTAGATAAACGCATGTATTGCAGCTATCAATATAGATAAACGGGTAAATTATATAACATCACTTTTATATGAGACCAAAGGTGCCTTCATCGAACTGTGATCAGTAGTTTTATTGCAGTGAGTTTAATGATATACGACGCCATCTTGTGGACATCTCGTGTTCTACTACAACATGTCGAAATGAAATCAAGCAAAACCATAGCTTGTCGAACAATCCATCCACTTATTTCAACATTTTATTGACTTAAATATCCATTTCAAAGTTTCATTTCTATATTGTGTAAAGTAGCAGCCACAAAAATGAAGAAATATTAACGTCACCACAGTTTTACCATGCAGTAATGTGGGCAAACAAACAAGTAACACTAGGAATTCTCGTTTTACCATGAAAACTCATATACCAGTAAGTTGTACAAAGGAACGTGATCAGTATGTACAAGTGGAACTGAAGTATTGAAGTCTTTCTAACACATATTCACACTTTTAAAATGACATTCAGAAATAAATAAGATCAAGTAATTATTTATTTTGAACATTGTATAAATAGTATATATTGCAAAGTTAATTAAATTAAAAGAAGAAAGAAAAAAGTGGGCTACTTAGGATATGTTTACATGTCACTTACTGCAGTTAAAAAGTCCTCAATGACTTTTTGAGGGCTTAAACATTTTTTAAAATGTTACTATAATCATCTTAACTACAAACGTATGTGATTTAGTGAAAATGCTGCTGCCCAGGACAAATTTGTCAGTGCAGTTTTTGTTTATAAAGTGACGTCGCCACCTACTGAACTCGCTTGCATATTACAGCATTGTTAGTATTTTTATGGATCCATGTAAACGATCATTTTGTCAAGTTGTCTGTATGCAAAACATTTCAAAAAGCAAAGCAAAAACTACATGTAAACATACCGTGATTATCTCTGTTTTAAATGAAAACGCTACTTTTTTAAAGGCTTTTACAACTTCTCTAGAGTTAAACAGTGATGCAATTTTGCAGGTCAGAGTTCACCAGATTGAACTTTGCAACGCAGCGAACTGCGAAACTTGTCGGACGAGCTTGCATTTCCGGTATGACACATTCGCATGCATATGAATTGAAGTCTTAAGGGAGAAAAGTTCAGTGTGACCGCAGCTTAAGGTAGAAAATTAAAAGTTGCTTGATTTTCAGGCTTCATGTAATAACATTGTGCCTGTTGCAGCCATTCCTTGATTATTACACAAGAATAAGAGTATAGTTCCAAGCCATATTAGCCTAGAAAATAGCATCTTTTCATGTTCCGTCAGTCTTAGTACACGATGTAACTACAGAAGAGTCTAGCTTTTAGTAGGAAAATAATCAAAACTCTTTTTTTTTTTTTTTTTTTTGAGCAACATGCTAATGGTTTAATCTGATTCATTGATCTTTGCTAAGCTAAGCTAAAAGTGCTCCAGCCAGATCTGGAGATTAAAAAATGGTAACACTCAACCTGTGGAGCTTATTTACAAAAACACTGTATTGTTTTTTCACTTGTTTTATACAGAGAGGGCTTAAACTTTTTAAAATAGTAGCTTAATCATCTAAACTACAAAAAAAAAATCGATTTTGTAAAGACGCTGTTGTCCAGGACAAATTTATAAATGCAAGTACTGTTTTTTTATAAAGTGACGTTGCCACCTACTGACCTCGCTTGCATATTACAGCATTGTTAGTATTTTTAATTTTCTTTTGTTTGTATTTTTGTCAAGTTGTCTGTATGCAAAACATTTCGAAGAATAGCTAAAACTTCAGTTGGCACTTTGTTGTCATGTAAACATACCCTAATTATCTGTTTTGTAGGAAAACTCCACTTTAGTTTTTTGAAAAAAGGCTTTTACAACTCTAGAGTTAAACAGTTGAGTTTTACCATTTTTGAATCCATTCAGCTGATTTCCAGGTCTGGCAGGATCACTTTTAGCTTAGCTTAGCATAGACCACTGACTTAGATTAGACATGTAGCGTCTGGTTCAAAAATGTGGAAAGAGTTTCAATAATTTTCTTATTTTAATCTTGACTCTTCTGTATTTATATTGTGTACTAAGAGTAAGACTTATGGAAAATTAAAAGTTGCTTGATTTTCAGTCTCCATGTAATAACATTGTGCATTCTGCAGCCAGGGTATGGAAGCAAAATTCCTTGATAATTACACCAGAATAAGAGTATAGTTCCTAGTTATATTAGCTTAGTATTACGTCACACACCCCTCCCCCTTTTTTTTAGATCTGTCACGCACCTCCCACAAATCAACAATGTCCCACCCAGAAATAACTTTTCTTAAATTGGCATGTCTGAACTTTTCATGTCTCGTCAGTCTTAGTACATGATGTAACTACAGAAGACATTTTAAGCAACATGCTAATATTTTAATCTGATTCAATGATCTATGCTAATTTTAGCTAATCTAAGATAAAAGTGCTCTTGCCAGACATGGAGATCGGCTAATTAGATTAAAAAATGGTAAAACTTGACTGTTGGAGCCTATTTACAAAAAGGTGGAGTGTTCCTTCATAGAGTCATACAGATTGTTAAAAGTCTCTGAACCTTTCTTTTTTCATTCATGAGCTCATAATTCATTCTTTAATGTCCTCAAACTGACTGACTGTAGAAAATAAACCTTTTAGTGGTTACTTCTACTGTCTCCGCCAACGGTTTTGGGGTTTCTCTTTGGTTTCTGCAGTTGCCTCTGTCTTGGCTTCTTTTTTCTCTGTCTTGGCTTCTCTTTTCTCTGCTAAATTGCTGAGCAGTGCGGGCAGATCATCAGTGATGGCCTTCTCAATCTTCTCGATCAAGCATCCGCCTGACCAGCTGCAGTATGAGGACAGGAGCTTAAAGCCGCTTGGAGGATTGACTCCAAAGAAGTCCCGGTACGCCTCTGGTTCAGGCAGATCAAACTTACTCACGTTGGTCTTGGCCAGGATAGATTTGAAGATGTAGAACTTGTCCGGATCACTGACAATATCCTGGAAAACCTCATGTGGGTCGCTAAACCAGCCTAATTTCTCATAGTACGTCTGCAGGTATCGGTCGACCAAGAGAGCATGAATGCGCACTCGGATGCCGTGCTGGCGAATAAAGGCAATTTTGTTTTCCAGTTGGTTCTCAATGACCTGATTTAGGTCCTCCAGAAGAGAGATTTCTTCACGTTGGAACAGGTCTCTGTTGGTGTCTTGAGCGTAATCCTGCTGCCAAAAGGAGCTTACGTAGACGCGTGGCGGTTCGGTCACATTAATCAGGGGTGCCATGCTCCAAAAGAGGGCGCCATACACGCGCATTAAGTCCTGGGTTGCCAGACTGTCAGCTTTGTTGAGAATGATACGGATCTGTGATTCGCGTCCCTTCATCTGTCTGAACAGCATTTCAAGTTCTAATCCAACATCCAGTTTAGTTGGGTCAAACACCAGGAAGATGAGGTCAGCGCGGTCGATGAACCACTGGCACACTTCACCATAGGGGTAACCTGAAAGACAACAGCGGAGTTTGTAAATAAGTACCAAGACAGATCGATCGACCTACCTACCTACCTACCTACCTACCTACCTACCTACCTACCTACCTACCTACCTACCTACAACAGTTATTTCTGGTTCTTGAATCTGATTGGCTGATAACCATGCGATATTCCAGTAATAACAGCACTCATAAAGCCTCCTCACCCTTCTGTATTACTCCACCCACATAGAGTGACAGCATATCAATAAATTCATTACAGTTTGACAAATATTGGACAACAGTGTAATTGTAAGGCTTTTTAGGGGAGAATGTAGCTTTTAGATTGCAACTATACAGTCTATTTTATAAGGATAGTGCCTATTTTAAATGCTTATTTATTATTTAGGAGATACAGCACGTCAGCATCCATTAGCCTGTCATGCTGAGCAAAGCAAAGACTTCCGCCACAAGATTGCAACAGAGACCACATAATAAGCCCTTAGATGAGGAAAACTGATCAAATTATTTTTAAACTGGTAATGCCTAGTTCAGACTGTGTGATTTTAGCCCCGATTTTGGCTCGCCGACAGGTTTTGAGAAATCGCCGACAAATGCCTGAAATCTCAGGCAAACCGGTGCGTGTGAACGTGAGTGACAATCACACTGTATGAACTATCAAAGACGCGATCTGAGAGAATCGCCGATGAGTCGCCAATGCCTGTGAGATATTTGGCGTGCTAAATATCTGGAGCTGTCGGCGATTCAAATCATGCTATGTGAAATGAGTTTAAGCCACTGGTAAGTCAATCTCTCTTTTTTTTGTATGTTGTAGTGTTGTATTTATACCATAGTCTGGCAGTCTTTCTGTTAGTGTTTGCTTTGCTTTGGCTTTTTCGGGGTAAATTATTGTGATATCCCGATTGCAACAGAGAAATACTGGGAAATCTCTGTAGACTGTTGGCATTTTATGCCTTGCAGCCGTATAAACTTGTGAGCAATGTGAGCAAAATCCCCTGTTTTGTCCTCACTTGAGACATTACGCTAGAGAATTATTTAAATACTAGCTCTAAAGTGACGTGTGTGAATTAGCAATAGTTTCTGCGGTTCTGACATCAGCTGCAGATGTGAATGAATGGCGGAAGAAAGTAGTTTCTCTTCCAAAAGGTTTTTAGACTTTCAGTGTTTGATTGTCTTTTTTATATATATACGATTATGGCGTTGTATATTGTTGTATAAACGCAATATTACACTCGTAGCAGTGTGATGTGGATGTACATCGTCACTGGTGAGACACTAACGGTACGTTCACACCGAAAGCGGCGAGAGCGTCCAAGGTCGCTCTGGCCGCCCTGGCGACAACGCTCTATGCCTTCAGCTCCTGCGGCGAGAGCGTCAAAACTCGCTACATTGATCTCATATTTAAAGGAGCCGTTGCAGCATATCAGTTACATTCCTGCATAAAACATGTTTCTAGCGTGAAAATGTTGCGCACTTCTTATCAAATTCATACAACAATGGAAGATCAAGTTGCGTGTGGTGCGGCTTTGCTCTATTTATCCAATATGTGTCCATATGTCTGAAATATCCTAAAGCAGCAGTACTGTTTTGTACTGTCACATCGCGTGAGATTCCCGCTTTTTTAAGATAAATTTATATAACATTAATGAACATCAGTAACTCGCCAGCAACTTATTTAATGTATGTTCCTGTAGGAAAAAATTGTAAATAATTGGAAATCCGGCGACCGCAATAATCAAACCCTTGGGAACAACTGTGGTCGGAACCAAAGTTCACAGGTCTGTGTTCTCTGAACTGCTATCAAGCGATGGACGTCTTCATTCTGATTGCTTGCCGCCAAACGCGTCATAGCTCATTACCATAAAGTTGACTTCATTTCAACTCTCTTCGACGATCACGCCGGCAAAGACGCGTCGCGCTGCCTCCTCGCCGCTTATCGCCGCTTATCGCCGCCGGCTCTCATTGAAAATGAATGACTTCCGGCTACATTGACGCTCTCGCCGCTTTCGGTGTGAACGTACGGTAAGGCACTCTGCCTTCAGCCTCATGCAAATGCATGCCTACTACCAGTGCTGATGAACAGCCATACCACACTGCTATAACTAGACGTATCAAACTTTATTAAAACTGATTCTTTTTGAAAACTGCATGTTCAATGGATTCCAAAATGGAGTCTTACATCAAGTATTTAGTCCTTAAATGTACTTAAGAACTATAAAGTACCAAAAAATGCACTTCTAACAAGCAAATTTTACAATATTCAATTAATATGCAGAAGTGCATGCTGTGCCTTTTCATGTGCATCAATCTGTTTATCAATCTGTTCTTTTCTCACCTCTCTCCTGTTGTTTGCGGTTCTCAATGATTCCAGGCGTGTCCACAAAAGTCACCCGCTCAAGAAGTTTGTGCGGCATCTCAATTCCCACCAGCTTTTCCAGGAACCCCTGACCAAACTTCTCCAGCGCTGTGAAAGATCGGGAGCCATCAGCAGCCATCACAATGCCCTCAACAGTGCGAAGCTTCTTACCATGCATTAGCACAGTATATTCAGAAGTTGTGGGTTCAGCTCCTGAAAAAAAAAAAAACATATGACAGTGTGATAAATAAACAGGAAATGTATACCCTCTTTACTGGGTACGCTTTGCCAGTAATAGTTTGTATCCACTTTTGCGTTCAGAACTTTCTTAAAGGTTTTAAAGCAGGGGTGTCCAAACTTGGAAGGCCGGTGTCCTGCATAGATTAATTCCAACTTCCTTCCTGCCTGGAAGTTTCTAGTATACCTAGAGCTTGATTAGCTGGTTCAGGTGTGTCTAATTGGGGTTGGACACTGGCCCTCCAGGACTGAGTTTAGACACCCCTGTTCTGTAGTATGAAAATCTGTATATAGCTAGTCATAGTTGACTTATAAGAGTTAAGTACATGGTAATGTGGTGTTTAAACAATGCCTTGTTTGTCTTTCTATCATTTAAACAAGGTAATTTATCCTCTGACCTCTGGAATCAACAAGAAACTGGATGTTTTCACTTTTTAGACCAGTCTCTGTACATCCTAGAGATAATTGTGTGTAAAAAAATCCCATATTCAGAAATACTCCGACCAGTCCTTCTGGCACCAACAACCAGGTACCTAAATCACCTTTCTGCGTTTCGAACAAGCTATTGAATTTGTGTATTACCAGTATAAAGCTGTTGTGAAGATTCTTCAAGACCCAGAAGGTAATTGATCATGGAAGACTTGCCAACACTCCAAGGACCCAAAAACAGGACCATGGGCTTAGAGGTGATCTCAGCATCTGAACAATATAAAGAAAGCAGACAGATTCAGTCAGGATAGGGGTTCGTTAAAAGGAATAGTTCATCCAAAAATACATTATGCCACCAATACCTCATCTATTACTTGTCCAAAACCTGTTTGAACAAAGTAAGATATTTTTAAAAATGCTTATAGTGGCCACCCACTGACTTTAATTCTATTTCTTTCCAACTATGGATATTGATGGGTGCCAGATACCAGCATTCTTCAAAATATCTTCTTGTGTGTTCAATAGAAGAAAGAAACTCATAAAAGGTTTAAAACCCACACAAGAGAGAATAAATGATGAGTTAATATTCACTTTTGAGTGAACTATCCCTTTGAGATGGTATTTTTCTGTCTAGAAATGATGTTGAATACAAAATAAATCCATTATCAAAAGATGTTCACCTGACACTTCGTGCTGCCTGAGCTCATTGTATTTGTAGGCCTTCTCCAAGGGTTTGATTGCAGTGTTGTAGACCTCCTGGAGTTTCTTCAAAGCATCTGCAAGAGTTGATGACATTACAACAGGAAGGTACATGCAACAAATACAAAAATACATTTTCTCTTTCTGGATCTGATGTTTCACAGTTCATTAATTGATTCTGTTACTTCAGGCTAAACTAAAAATGTAAAGTTCGCAGACAAACCTTATGTTGGCTTGAGAAAGCCTAGCCTGAAAGTTTGAAGTAGTTTTAAATTTTTAGTAATGAAAGTAGTTTTTAAGCTTGAA